GATGAAATATGGCAGTTAAGGGTAAGCTATTTTGGTATGTTACTCAGCTGGTGAGTCATGTCTGCACAATAGAGCAAAAAAAGGAGAAACAAGACAAAGCCAAGAATATGCTTTTTGACAGTGTTTCTCTAAAATTAACACTCTCCTGTGATTTTTCACTCATAGGTGAGATTTTGCTAGATTACGTTATGTAAGCATGGCGGAGCAAGCAGAAGCTCAAGCATTCATTCTATATCATGGAGTTTGACCCATAAGGACCTTTCGCTAACCCTGTATGAGACCATCTCATTTCCGCCCTTTAGACCCACGCCTAATTTTATAATCCTTTCTAGGTTTATAGATCTAAATTAAAGCGGCTTACTGAAAGCAACAATCAACAACTTAGCAAAGATTATTTGAAAAGTAAATAAACGAATAGCGACATCTGACAAACAAAATCGCTTATAACAACAAGACGGTTCAATTCAATATCACCAGGATCCTAAATGTTCTCCTCTCTCCTCAAACGATAGCAGCGTTTCTCCTTACTGTTTTCACAATGAGCCTTTCCGCAATCTATAATAATTTTACTTCATTTGTTTCCAACATTAAATGCCTCTCTAAATCTCAAATTTTAGTGCTGCAACACGATTGCCAGATCCCTTGCCTGCTTTTAGCATGCAGTTTCAACTCCTGTATAAAATTTGCAATGAAGTATTCTTTTCTGAAGCGAAGCTTAAAGCAGAAACATTGAGATGAAACGTAGAGTAAGGAAACTAAGCTACAAAAAACATAATAACATGCAAAATTCGTAGATCGATTTGCAACCGTGCCACAGTACATGAGCGATCCTATAAACTCGCGCCTTGCATCCAGTACGAAATTCAATTCTCATGGTCGGCCTTATATAATAAATTTATCATTGCGAACCTATAGATGGCCTTATGATGCGCAACTCATACGCAACTTTGTGAGTGGCCTTTTACCTGGGTAAACAATTATGGATTTTTGGGGAAGTAAGCAAAAGAAAATAGCTCCCAAGTAAAGAAGCACAAGCACTACGATCAGAAGAATAACCTTTTCTTACAGTTGACTGTGCCAATTCTCCTGGCCATAATAACGTTTCCCTTGCTAAACTTCAAATCGCCGACATTTTTCACGAAGTTCAATGTTCTTGGGACGATATCAGTCATGTACATATTGCTTTTCAATGGTACAAGACTAATAAAGTGTGGAATTACATGGGATTTTACCAACGAGCTCTCTCCTCACTACGTAGCTGGTAAGCCTGTAGAGTTTTATGCAAATTCCAAACATATTTGAAATGCATATGCCATCGAGGTACGCTAAGCTAATAAAGAAGCTATTCAGGTTTTAACGACCAAAATCTTATTTTTGCACAATGGAAAATAAAGTAGTTAGCAACATTTAGTTTTTAGGATTCAGCTGGAATTTTCCAGCATTGACAGGGTTATTAACCATGTCATATTTTATCCATAATGCTGTTATTACAATCCTTAGGAATCAGGGAAACCCACAAAATAACGTAAGTTACTTAGATGAACGAGTCAGCTTTAGAATTCTGTAATTTAGGCTAGAGATCTTTGTATTGGATACGGACTAGTGGCGTTTAGTTACATTTTCGTAGCTTTTACATTCTTTGCAGCTTTTCCCTTTAAAAGAAGTTGCATACGGGACGTAAGTGAACAAAATTAAGACAAAAACCTTGTTATTCACATTAGATAAGCTATTTCAGAACTTACTCAACAACTTCCCCGCTGATTATCCATTCAGTGCAGCTGCCCGAGTTCTTATACTCTTTCAATTGTTGACTATATTGCCTCTTGTGCTGTTCTTTATTCGTTCACAAATATCTTGTGCAATTTTCAACCAACCATATCCAGGGTAGAGCCATTTCTCTTTGATATATCATACTAAGTTCAGTACAGAACCCTTTAGGTTAGTGAAAGTGGTTGCTCTCAATGCTACTCTCGTCTGCGCTGGAGTTTTGATCGCAATATTTTACCCGAACATTGGCAGCATAACAAGGTAAACAAAAGTCAAGGCTATGTTCAGGTAAACATTTCGCTAAGGAGTTCGTGGAGAACTTAGCTATTTGACTTTTGATACACACAGGGTATCTTACTTGTCAGTGATGCTACATTTTTTTAGGTACTTCGGGTCATTCTCGGGGATGATGTACATCTACGCTCTGCCATGTGCCGTACATAT